AAAGAGGCATGATGTGACCTAGTTTGGTTTCTGTTGCTGAGATAAACACCATGACCAAAAATAACTCAGAAAAGAAAGAGCTTGCTTCAACTTACAGGCTCCATACAGTGCATGGCTGAAGAAATGCAAGACAGGAACCCCAGGCGGGTATGCAGAGGCAGAAGCCGAGGCAGAGCCCTCAGAGGAGGAACACTACCGACTGGCTTGCTTAGCTATTATGTAAAACCATACAGCCTAGACTCACCTGTCCAGGGCTGGCACCACCTGCAGTGGCCTGGGCTCCCCTACGTAAATCAGAAATTAAGAAACTACCCCATACGTAAGGCCCCAGGCAAATCCAATGTAGGCCATCTTCAGCTGCACACCCCTTTCCCCAGGTGTGTCAAATTGACAAGATCAGCTATCATACTATGTTGATTAAAGGGCCTGGAAGCGGTGGCACACACCTTTAATCCCAGCACTCGGGAGGCAGAGCCAGACTGATCTCTGTGCTCTGTGAGTTTGAGGCCAGCCTGGTCTCCAGAGTGAGATCCAGGCCAGGCACCAAAACTACACAGAAGAAACACTTTCTGGGGAAAAAAAAATAAAACCAAAAAACTATGTTGATTAAAGGACCAGCATATTTGAAAAGGGTCAAAATTATTATTATTTTTTTTAGAAATAAAATAGCCACTGAAAGCTCAAAGGATGTACTTAATAGCAAATTAGATATGTCCAAAGAAGAATTTGTGGACTGGAAGCCAGGGTGGGAGAAAATGGCTGTAGGACCACTCAATTAGAAATTGAGATGAGAGACTGTAGTTAGAAAAGGAGAAGACAGAGGAAGAAGCATATTCCAAGAGATAATGCTGGAGACTTTCGCACAATCTCTTCAAACTCAGAGTCACAGGATGAATGAACGCCTCGTCTACTGAGGTGCTTCAGACTCTGTCTGGGAGAAGGGTCGCATGCCATTCCACTGGAGGTGTCATCAGGGATCGGGTACCACAAAGCTGGGTTCTAGTCTGAGTTTTGATACCTTTTGTGGTAATTTGAGATTTGAGACAGGGTCTCCATGTAGCCCTGACTTTCCTGGACTCTCTATGTAGATAAGGCTGGCCTTAACTCACAGAGATCCATTTGCCTTTGCCTCTTGAGAGCTGGAATTGAAAGCATGCATCACCATACCTTTCATAATTTACATTTTGGTACATTATTCCCACAAATTTGGGAGAAATGAAAAGAAACTTTTTTCCTTTATGAGTAATTATCTCAGGCATTCTCTTACAGCAATGTAAAGATGCCTAGTACATTGTCTGAAATAAATGTGAGAAATCAAAATGAAATGGATATGAAAGTAAGTTTTTTTCATTAACATTCAATAAATGGATTGATTGCTATTGAGAAACACTAAAAATTTTAATCAAACTGTAAACCATAGCATAAAGTAGTAGACAAGTTTAAGATAATATTATTAAAGTCATTTACAGAAAATTTTACAGAGCAAATAGCATTTTTAGAAAACCTTGAGATTTTCATGAAAGTAGACCAGAGGGATCCGGAATGAGAAAATTTAGCGTGAGCACATCAAGTCACCTTGGACTGTTCCCAGACAGCTCTGGGGCCCTTTAAATAATAATGTGGACGTGATCACCTCCCTTCATCAGCTGTTACATTTCCGTGGGAATTAATGCTTGTCCGTGGAGGAAGCACCCATCTACAGGAGAGGGTCTTGGTTGTCTGCCTCCTGATGCATGAAGGACAGAGGGAGAGGAGAGAGGACGTGACAGTGTAAATTGCATATTTTCAATGCACATTGTTCAGGAACGATGCTGGAATCCTCATGCGAGGCTTCATTTATGGAAAATGATGAAAAGCCAAGCCTTGTTATGGTCTGGATCCAATTTGCTTTTGACAGATTATACATTCTGCCTTTCGAAACAATGTGAACAATGCCAGTAAGGTCACAACACTTACCACGTGTCACCAAGGTCATCATAAATCCCGATTATTCTGCCATGTCATCTGCTGAAGTCACTCTGCCAGCTCCCGATGAGGTCAGAATTCTGAGAAGTGATTGTTTATCCCATTCCTGGGAGAGAGCACAACTGTCCACAGAACACATCAGGCAGTGAATAAATATTTTAACTGATTGGTGCCAGCTCTTGTCACCTTGGTATACCTTCTGAATGAATTATTTAAAAGGCATACCCCTCCCCTCTACTTTGTCTTTTCAAGCTTAGAGATCCAACTGCCTCTGCCTGAGAACTGGGATTATAGGCATGTACCACCACTGCCCAGCAAATCATCTCATAGAGCTCAGGTCCAAAGGACTCTCAGGAAAAGTGATAATTCAAGTACATAGACACATGCCGGCTAATTCATCTTGCCAGAAGTTGCATCCCATCAAGCTTCTTGTGCCAAGACTTTTGCCAACATAGAAACAGGGTTCTTGCCGGGCGGTGGTAGCACACGCCTTTAATCCCAGCACTCGGGAGGCAGAGGCAGGCAGATCTCTGTGAGTTCGAGGCCAGCCTCGGCTACAGAGTGAGTTCCAGGAAAGGCACAAAGCTACACAGAGAAACCCTGTCTTGAAAAACC